CCAAATGTTTGATGTGTGAGAGATGCTCACGCCATGAACACCGCTTCGGCTCGCGCACAACACGCCTCGCTTATGCTCGAGCTTAGTGATCGATTCCGTGCGGACATGCATCAACCTCCCACGAAAAATGCACGTTCCCTATACCTGCGCTGAGCATCTCCAAGTTATCCAGCTTATGAAAATAATTTAATTTGATTAGCATGCTTTCTTTTTCAGCTCAAAACACCCGACTTTTCTTGAAGGAGGCAGCATGGCTAGCGACACATTTACAACACTTCAGGCGCTCAGCGACGCAGTCCCGAGACTGGTACTCTGAAGAAGCTCGTCTGGAGCACCGGGAGAGTCTCTTTGACACCTGGCTGTGGCGTGGCCAAATTTTAGCAGTGAATACAGCCAACTGGGTCTCGAACGTATTGCTCGACCGGAATGGAGTGATATTCCACCTTGGCTTTTGACGGCCTGGCCGGCACGTTGAAGGTGAGAACTGTGACGTCTGTGTCCCTAAGCTTTCCGTTCTCCCTTCTCCAAATCCGCCTCGCAGCAGTCACGCAATGTCTCTCCACCCCTTCAGTAATTTCTTCCCCGACACTCCCCGAAGATCCCAGCAGGTCGTGGCTCCTTTTGACCCATTTTCAGTGGGTGATGTTGTACAGCGACGGCAATGTTGCCAGTACCTTGGCCTCTAATACGGTAAGTAAAATCATAGTAGATCACTAGTAGCAGCCTCGCTTCGTTGCCGTCTCCGTAGTGTACCTCGATGGAGCGATCTGGACAGCTGCGTACCTCCGTCGGAATGCCAAACTTGGACAACGCATGCTCACTCTGTAAGGGATTCAAGTTCAGCGACAGTGATTCTCCATCGAAATCGAGTTCAGCCCCCTGAGCAATCAGGTATTCCGGCAGTGGTGAGCTGCGTTGAGCTCGAACCTGCTCAGAGGTCCGAGGCCCCGAAGATGTTTCGGGGTCATCAGCAGTGGCAACCCGGTTTCCAGCGTGGACAGTGCCAGCCTGGCTGGAGGGGTCGATGCAGGTGTGTTTGTTTGAAAGAAAGAGAATCCATGCAATTTGTCTGAAGTATTCGGCACGCCCCCCCCCCCCCCCCCACATATACACACCTCGGAGCCCAACTGGGGAAAGGCCCAACACCCCCTCGGGAGATGGTCACCGCCAGGGCTACCCCGGTGCTATACGAGACAAACAACACTTTCCCGCGGCCAGGTGTAACCGGAGAGACTCCTCCCTGTCCTGACCGTGGTTCAGCGCCGCCGCCCCTTGACCGCTTAAGCCACTGCGCGCGGCCAGGCGCCCCAAGCGACGACCTGCACAGAGCACCCAGCCGCAGCGCGAGCGACAAGCCGCTATTGCCGTGTGGGGTCCCACGGGGCCCCACGCCTCTGGATATTCTGGCCAAAGTTGAGTGTTGGGGCGCGTCTTGACCGACTTGCATGACGCGCCCCTTAGTCACCGAGATCCGATCAACACGGGGACGTGAGCGAGGAGACACGGCGATCCCATAAAACGAGGATGAGGAGCGGCGAGAGGGCCGGATGCGGAAATGCGGTTGGTGGTAGGAAGGAAGCGAGAGAGGCAAGGAGCAGGACCTCACGTACCGGCAGGGTCGCTAGGCCCAGAAATGAACAGTTTGCACGCTTAATTCTCCTCAGATATACAGTGGAAAACTCGCCAAACTGTTCTCAGTGAACATTGTGAGATGGAAATGGCCCTGTCTACAACCATCTACAGCACCCCGTGGCCCGCTATCCACGGCTGAGAAAGGGATGCTGCAGGCTGCTACGACGGAACCTTGTCGTCACCACTGCATAATGCTTCCTTTCCATGCGTTCTGTAGTCCGACCCTGCTCACCAAAACACGTAAACTACCTATCTACAACCCTGCACGTCCGCGAACGCAGCACTCGTCGAGCCAAACTCCAAACAAGACCATCCCCTAACGGACCATACAGCCGGGGAGGACAGAGCGAACGGAGAATATTCCGTACGCGCACTGCCACACTCCTAGCACTAGAATGTATATGACAACATCGAGCATTTAGATGCTGATTTATACGGTTGAATAAAACATTACTTAATTTTTTTAAATTTTATATTTTCTATATATTTTTTATTTATTTGTATTTCTTTATGTATTAAATAAAATATATTGAATATTTTCTAACTATGCATTACCAAATGTTGTACACCCCAACACCCAGTCAGCCTTTCATCGATCAAATAGAGACGTTAAAGGCTGTCTTGGATACTCGCTTGGGCACGCTGAATTAAGCTGGCCGACGTCTCCGGCTCTTGGAGAGGATTTTCCAGTGGAGAGAAGGCATATTTTTCCACCAAGAAAGATGGGCTGAATACGAGACGAATGCGTACAAAAGTGATGAGGAATAGAAGCTTGGATTTTTCCGGCTATCTGCGGAGCGTCGCGACCGACATATTCCGCGAGCGTTAAGTCCCGGAAGTGTTTCTTATTCTCATCTGGGTAAGCCTTTTGATTGCAATTGAAACATTTGAGTAATATTTTTGAAATATAGTCATTGGAGCCAGGCCCAGCCCATGAATAATTTCTAGAAAGTCATTAAGAACCTAGGAAAGGAATATAGAAATCAATCAATTGTAACTAACAGCGGCCCTGTCGTTGAAGACTGCTTCTCTTTATGTACCATTTCAGTGACATGCTTAGTTTCTGTCGTTTATCTTGAAGAGCTGTGATGGAGCCGTGTTTAGCAATGGAAGTGGGGTGGGCTAAGACTATAGATGAAGAATTTATATAATTTCAGCCCAGCGTCACACCGTGAGGATAGTACTGAATCAGACGCATCGGCTGTGAGTAGGTTCTGCAGTTGCCGTATTGCCGCATGTGCAGGGAGGTTTGCTTTACACGGAGGAAATAACCTCCGCCGCTATTTCAATGGTGTAGTTTGTAAATAAGCTTGGCGGGCGGCGAGCGAACAGTGGAAGTCAGTGAAATGAACCAAAAAGTGCAAACAGCATGTTCTGCATTAATTTGATCAATTCATTCCCCAAATTTGGGGGGAACTATGGTCCCATCAAACTGAATAGAAAGCTACAGGCAAGGCCCAAAACGAAATGTACCTAGATCCAGTACAAGCCTAGGAGGTGTCATTTGCCCCTGGCAACTGTCCCCTAGATGAAAGACTGCTGCCTTGGCTGGCAAGTAACAGCACTAATCACTATGTGCCAGATACTCATATATATATATATATATATATATATATATATATATATATATATATATATATATATATATATATATGTGTGTATATATATATATATATACATATACATACGCATATATATACACATATATATATATATACATATACATACGCATATATATACACATATATATATATATATATATATATATATACGCATATATATATATATATATATATATATATATATATATATATATATATATGATAGTAGCCATAATAACGTCTCAATCATAACGCCGCATAAGCTTCATAACATTTCGGTCATAAAATCATGATGCGCCCTGGGGAATTATGGGACAGGTGCAAAACATTTTAAGCATTGGTTTTTATCAACGTTAATTGTGACCCACACCTAACCTCAGAAAAAAAATTGTTAGTATAAAGCAACTTTCTATCCGATTGTCACCTTCAAAAAGTGCAGTGTGTGTGTGTGTGTGTGTGTGTGTGTGTGTGTGTGTGTGTGTGTGTGTGTGTGTGTGTGTGTGTGTGTGTGTGTGTGTGTGTGTGTGTGTGTGTGTGTGTGTGTGTGTGTGTGTGTGTGTGTGTGTTTGACCTACGCAGAAATGGCAGAACACAACTTTCATCACGTTTAAAAAAACTTTGGAATTACAAACTACTGACCTATAATTGCCTTTGGAAATTACTGAGACCAGCTGGTGCGTGGTATTTACCGTTGCTGTTAAAAAATGTTCTACAGTATCAGTTGTGCAGCCAGTGTAAATTCACTTGGGCCATTTTTTTCCGGCGCAATATTAAAGTTTTTGGTCTCACTCCCCACGAGACAAACCAAATTTCTCACAATGCCCGTGGGCTTGCCCAACAAATTAAGCCCTTAGATTGTATCGCCAAAAAATGCCAGTCATAACTCGGTAGTTACCTAGCGGCTCTCAAAAAAGATAAATTGTAGATAAAAATAGATGCACTTGTTAGCTTTCTTCGCCGGCACTGTCGTAGCCTACTGAGCAGATCTGATCAGCACGTTTAGACTTGATAAATAAATACAGATGATTTGCACACTTCTCGAAAGTTGTTCAGTGCATTAGCGAGAAACATTATTCGCATGGATTAGACAGAAGTATTAGTCTTATTTCTCGGAAACAAACAGGAGAATGGAGATATAGTCAGTTGATATTTCGGCAACTTGCCTTCATCGAAACAATAGCTGAAGTCATCTAACTATATCTCCATTCCTGTCAACCTAACTACATCTCTATTCTCCTGGCTTTCCGAGAAACAAGGTTAATTCTACTGTCTAATCTGTGCACACTTTTCGCATTACGCAAGCCAGTGGAATACAATAATTCCACCGCCAACGTAGATTCCAATTCAGCCTCCCCAGTCCATGTCGTCGTGCACGACTGGGCGTGAAGACTGATTTGACTGGACGTGCAGCGACATTGGCAGCAGCGCATGACTGGGCTTGCAGCGCACACTCAGTCATGCACGCACGCCACCGGCGCACCCCTTCGGATCTCCACGACACACACACACACACCACACACACACACACACACACACACACACACACACACACACACACACACACACACACACACACACACACACACACACACACACCACCGACGCGCCTCGTCAGAGCACCGCAGGGTCCATACACCACGGGCGTGCTCCTTCGGATCGTCGCGGGCACGCACGCACCACCGACGCGCCCCGTCGGAGCGCCGCGGGGCGCCGGTCGGCGTCGGCCGTCGTCGGCGTGCGCCCTCAGTGACGCGTCCGACGCTCGAGGGAGCCGAAGTGTGGGAGCGCGCCGCCCGACGCCGCCCACCGCCGACACCAAGTGAGCCTCTGCCAAAACGGAGATGTCGGGCTTGGGGGGGGGGGGGGGGGGGGGGCGGTGCGCGCTGGGATGGCCGTGACTGTAGATCGTAGTCCAGGGTCTTGACATGCCGCAGCACGGCGGCTGGATAATGTAAGGGTAGCTGTGCGATGTGTTGAGAAGCCCTGGAGGAATGGTACACGGCATAACAATGTATGTGCGATGACAAGTATGAAATATGACGCTTGCCCCTCGAACTGCAACGAATGCAAAGTAAAATTCCGCCCCAGACTCGCAACAAGTCCAGAATTAGTCCAAAATCTGGTCTTGCCCTAGAAGTGTTCCGCGGCGAAATTTGTTCGTGTAGTTTGGTGCTGGGCTTCACGTATGTTGGCCGACATGCATGGAAACGTGATCTACGGTGAAAACTATCTGTCAACCCCAAGCATGACAAAAACTGTTTCTGATGTGATACTGAAACATCAAAAAACTGTTTCGGATATCTCTGATGATAAATTATGCACGGTAAATGACACATTTACTGCAGTTATCGCTCGTGTTAAGAAGACATGCTAAAATTTCTGTTTCAATAGGACCAGGGCTTCAAACACTGCATGATCAGTGTTTTATGCTAATTGGACCTATTATAATGCGCTGTAAATGCAATGGAGAAGTCATCTCAAAATCGTTCCTCATAAGACACAAGACTACAATTTATAACACATTTTTGAAACGATTACATCAGAAAAAGAGTGAGGTATTATTAAAGTATTCGTGCATGGAATGAGGCCTTGCGCTAAGACCCCAGCAAAACTTGGAGAATTGCAGGTAAAGTTAACTGTTTATGTTTATGAACACCTTAGTCCGGCACTGTAATACCACTCATCAAGCTATGATAGCAGCTTGATGTGTGCTATATATGAATTATGCATAACACATATCGCGCATTACGTTTTATAAAGCCTGGTACAATGTCGCGATGAGCCTTATGCTGGTTCATTTTGTTTGTACCCAACACATACATGTTGGCCGCAGATATCTCTGGTGATCTCGAATATCGGTCAGCATCATGTAAAAAAACATTTTGTGCTAGGCCTGGGCATAACTTGCCTCTTCAGATGACGTTTACATGCATGCCAGCCAATATACGAGGAGCCAAGCACGAACGTCAGCACGAACGTTTTCGCCCTGGGACATTTCTGAAGACGACACCAGAGATTGGGCTAATTCTGGACTTGTCAACAATCTGGGCCAGAAAATTGGTTTCCCTTCGTTGCCATCCGCGAGGCAATTGTGTTATCACGGTGTATTGCTTAAGCGCAGTTTTATGGTGAACACTAGCATTTCTGCGAGTTATTGGACGAGACGAAGCCGTGGCTAATAACTCTGATAGATGCAAGTGCGAAACCATACAACAGTTCATTATGCAGCTGTCGTGCGAACACGGCCATTTTAAAAATTTAAAGGCGGAAGATGGCTCAGGGAACGCAGGTACTTGCAATAGGAATTGGAAAAGAGTGACAAAACAGAGCAGAATAGGCATTGAACGACCAGTGTTGGTCTGAAATTAAATATGTTTGATTATTTGCTTATTTGAATGCCCAGTAAGGAAGGCAATACTATACGGCGGTGAAATTTCCTAAAACCTGCAAGTAACAACGTTTTTGGGGAACGCTTAAATGACTGTCAGTTCGCTATGAACGTCAACTTTCAAGTACAGTCTATTACCACTTTTGTTTGCGATAAAATACCTTAAACACACGTGGCCATCAAAACCACGCACGTTTTTTACGCGGTCGGCTCTCCTAAATCGTTCAGCTCTACACTAATTGGCATTGCACGGTGGTCACATGCTATAGTTTCTGTGAAGTTCACAGATTTCTTGGTATTCAAGGCAAAGGTGAACGTGACAGGGTGTTAATAATTCCAGAGCGGTTGCTTAAGCGTCTTGGGCTGGCATATGCGTCAGATTATTATGCATATGCATGCTGATATCGCGGCCTCCAGAGACATGTGCTGAATGGCTAAAGGTTCAGTGACTCATTGTTCCTAACGCTCATTCAGCGTGCAATTTGAGAAACAGAGAGGCCAAGAAGGTCATACCGCGAGACCGCCGTTTTTAACACGCGCTCGGGTGGCGGGGGTCAAATACCCCCCCCCCCCCCCCACCCCTGAAGGTTTTTCCAAAATGGTTTTCGAACGTCGCGGCGAAGCTAAGCCAGATTTTTCATAGCTGTAGACAAATGAATAACAGCTCGTTCGGCTTTGGAAATTTAAATTTACCTTGTAAGGTCGCTGCTCTATGGCTGGTTAAAGTCAGGCCATGGTTTCAGCGAGGGCAATTTCTAGGAAATCCTTCAATCTGATCCAACAACGGAGTGTTAGACGAATCCATAAATATCTGAGATGCTTTCTTAGGCACCACAATAGTTGAATGAGCAAATTACCTAAGGTCAGGTATAAACGTCACACCAAGGCCAAAACCAACAATGCAGTACGGAGCTCTCGCTTCTAAGAGCACATTTCCAAACAAGCCAATCTGCCGCTATCATCCAGTTTCCTGATAAGTCTCGTTGTGCCTCCCTCCGCAGGCAACTCTGGCTACGTCCCCGGTTGCCTCTGTTCCCTGCGCAGCCTGCTTTTGTTCCCATCATCAACAATAGGACGACGAATGTTAAAATAAATGCTTTGCTGTTGAGAGCCCTGCTCGCGAATGATGTTGACATTCTAAATATCGTGCCCCAAGAACAATGGCGACATCTTAGCGTGATTTTAGAGCATCAATCCTCCGTATTGCAAGCTGTCGCCCAGACATTGCAATGCTTTCTGTGAGAAATGAGTCGCATGCGATTTCTGACTGATATTAGGCTATTTCATAGCTCTTTGGTTCCACCCGTCTCAATTCATGCGTCAGCTTTCCGAGAATTCGGGGATATGGTGCATTGCTTGTGGCTGATCAGTCCTTTTGTGAAGCATGGAGTGTTTCAAGACGATAGGACCCGCACAATAAGAAGTTTTTCATTAGTTTTAAGTGACGCGTCGCAAGCTATCGCGTACCCATTTATGGTGCCAGCGATTGCAGAGGCCATATCAGCAATCAGGTGTCAGCGGTCATAGTAATCAATCAAATGTAGTTGTGTTCATCAAATTGTCTTGTTCTCAAAGTGGCCAGCACGTATTCTGTGCTCCACGCCGTTTCTGTGCTTGTTGAAGAGGGCCGTCCTTGTCTTTTCAGCCAGGATGGCAAGGTGGCATGCGGCCCACTGGTGCTGCGTTTTCTGCCTTCACCTGCTGGAAGTCGTCAATGGGTGGTTACCGCCGACCGTGAAGATAGGTATGCCACCGACTGTGATGAATTAGTAGCCCAGCTTTCCTTGTGAGATGCAATGACTTGCACCAATACTGACCCAGTCCAGTTACCAAGACAGAAAACATGGCCAAACAGAATGTGTTATGCAGTGCATTTCTACCGATCTTAAAAAGTAGTTATGACATTGCGAGACCGTGGTTGCTGGAGCGAAGATTGCTGCGAATCAATCACCTGTCCATCGATGCGTGTTCATCGGCTGCATCGCTAAAGCCAGTCTACCCTCGCCGTCGGAAATTCAGGGCGCAGTGGTTATGGGCGCGAGAACTGGAGGAGCGCGGGGAGGGGGGTGCTAAGCCCCAAACTCCCTTGAAGTTTAACAAGGCCCAATGTTTGTCGACTGGACAGAAATGACAAAAATGTCTTTCTCTCCATCCTATTGCGAGGACTTGCATTGCCTTTGGCCGTAGCTTAACGTGCCGTAACGGACAAGTGGGTAAGTGTGGTTTGAGGGGTCATAAGACTCACTGTACCTTGTATCCACACATTTCACATGATAATGAGGCACTTACGAATTCCCATATGACATAATAAATTCCATATAATAATTTTTTTCATCACGTTTGTCTATGGCTTCCACTTACTTTTATCTAAAACGCACGCCACGACGTGTTCGAAACAGGCCGTGGAAGCCTTACAAGCTCGGTAGGGTCAGCCTGCAGGCAGCGATTGGAAAACGGCTGCCCGTCTCGGCGGTGGATGGGGACGCGGCGCACCCATACAACGCCGCGCGCCGACCGCGGCCGACGCACGTCGCAGGCGCGGGCAACTCGGGTGCGACTGCCGAGCAGCCAGCCCGGGGGCATCGCAGCAGGCCCCGGGCGTGACGGCCCGCTCGTAGTGTCAAGAGACTATAAGACTGACAACAGCAGGCCCGCCGGTCCCCCAGGCTTGACACGATCCTGGAGTGAGGCGAATACAGTGTTAGGAACCATTTCTTGCATGAGATTATTTTCACGAAATGGTTGTTCATAGCATGTGCATATTATAAACCAAGTCGGGACATGTACCGATGTCCACTGCCGCATGCTGATATGCACGGCTCACGCGACAAAAACGAGCACGAAGAGGAGCTGGAATCTTCAACACGCATGAGACGTTCGCATTTAAAACTTACCGATTACGATATGAGCATTGCACGACTTTGCCTCCATGATCATGCACAAAGGTGCAGCCAAGGGAAGCATCCTTAAGTCCGCATGTGAATTTTTAACTCACAATGGCCCCCGACAGAATATTAACAATCAGCGCGGTGCGTTGTAACCTGTAAGCACGATCATATTTTAGGCACCACTTACTTTAACAACTCCTCACTCCCCATATCTCAAGCAGACACCCACTGCTTCATACTGTGGAGATACAATGTTCATGTTCAACATCAACTCAACGTTCCCAGAAAACCTGAAAGAACAGTATTCCTAAGGCGTCGACTGGTATGTCCGAGCGACAAGAAGCGAAATATTTAGTTGTTAGCAAGTTTGCCATCGATTGCCAGCTGGTCTGATCCTTCCGGTTGAGTTGTTGGAGCCTCCCAGCGATTTATGCTGCGCTCCTCCCGTGAAGTTCCCATTGGAGGCGATGACAAATCACCACGGCTCGTCCGGGTCCCATGAGGGATTTAAGCACACCACCAGCGGCGCTTTTACCGTTTGCTCGCCTCCACAAACAGACCAGCGAAGCTGACGTTTTGTTTTTTATCGTGCCATCTATTTGACAAACGGAACTTGAAAGCCGGGGAGATGGATGTCAGGGCGTAATCCCATCCAACGGCCGCGGCTCGGAGCAATCCAGAAGAATGCCAGATAAGAATGACGCGTCTGTGAAAACAGCTACCAAAATTGGCCGGGAGTAATAGCAATGTGGGAGGCAGCTTTTGGCATTGGTGCCGAGGGTTTCAAAAGGCTTAAGAGCCCATCATGGCTGATTATGCGGGCTATGGCTGGTCGGGGACACCCAGCTACAGCCGCGGTGCTGGTGTTGATGGTGGTGTGTGTGTGTGTGTGTGGGGGGGGGGGGGGGGGTGCTGGCCAATGAACGCGGAGGCACTCTGGGTGTGGCTTCCGAAGTAATCACATTACTCCAACGTCAACTGTCATTATTACCGCTCAGATCAGACTGTCCTAGTAGACTCCAGACACCGACAATTACTGCCGTATCTTGTGATAGTAGCCATTCTAGCATTTTATGATATATGGGCTCCGCATATTGCCCACTTACTTGGCTTACTTGAATGACATGCATTTTATAACATTTTGACTCTAAAACCAGTTAAATTACTTGCCTTGGTATTTGATAGCATACCAGTCAATCCAGTATGGCGTAATCCCACGTTCACATGGTATTTGGATCAACACCAAATTTATAGACTTCTAAAACACTAGGTGACATCATATTCAGTTGTAAATTTCATCATAAATGGATATTTATTTCGCATCTTAATTGTGTCCTTCGTTGGTGAAAAAGAAGCGCACATTGACCAGAAACCTGCAAGTATGGGCACTGTTGTTTTCATATTTATTTTTGCTACTTTCCTTACATGCTTACATATTAATCATCCGCATTCAGTCTTGGTGAACACCACGGCCGATATCAGCCGAACCGTAGACATTCACCTAGAGCGGTGCGCCAGACGCTCTTAATAAGGAAGGAGAGTGATCCCGTAGGCGTGGAAAGAAGGCTAGATTTAATCACGCTAAGTATAGGTCTACTTCTTTCTGGCGCGCAGGTACATAGGGTGGCATTTAATCACTATAAAAACCACGCGCGTGACGTTATCACACCGAGCCCTTCGCGGCTCGTGTTTTTCCCCTGCAAGCGCGAACAATCGCAGTCCCTCACTCAGTGGAGTGAGGAAGTGGAGTGGAGTGAGAGATTCTGTCGCTGACGGCAGGACCGGAAGCAGCGCAAGCTTGTTCAGAAGGATCTGTTTCACGGGTGACAGACTGGCGGTCTGTCCTTGCCATCGGCCTCGGTCGCTCAGTGCTTACCGTTTGATGTTGAGAGCCAACACAGGGAGGAAGGACCGGAGCACGGGACGGCAGCACCCAATACACTGCATAGGCGCAGGTCCCCGTGGGACGGGGAACGGTTTTCACTGGGAACCGGTTTACATGGGCAGGGTTCTCCGTGCAACACGGTGGCAGACACCAAGACGGACTGTTGAAACTGTGTGGCACACTGACGTACGGAAGACGCTGAGCAGACCGACCACTGAGACAGCGCAACATTGACGCACTATGGGAGGCGGATTACTGTGACTGTGTGGCACCGACACGCGCATGGGAACACTGGGTGATGCCGAGGGACACAGCAGCACGCGAGGAAGAACTACTGGATCGTACGATGCGCCGACACACACGCAGGGAAGCATCCGGATTGGGCCACACACGCAGTGGGGGGGGGGGGGGGAGGAGGAGGATCGGGGAGGGCGAGGCAGAGACCACAAGGATGTCGTTTTTGGACAAAAAAACGAACCAAACGCAAAGCAAAAACGGACGGCAACGTGGGCTAAAACATTGCAACTTGCTTTATTTTCGTTTTTCAGTGAAATGCCATTTTCCCCATTTTTTTACAACCAGCAATTGTTCAGCAGATCAGTGGCTGAAGAGTATACAACTTTTGTCCATTTCCTCGCAATGACTTACCTTGTGCTTCGGGGGGAGGGGGAGCGAGGCTCTTTTGCACACTCGCACCTTAAAACCCGTCCTGCGGCTATATGCCATGTTATCCCACCGGGCAGCGGGAGGATTCCATGGTTGTCATTGGGACTTTAGGGGCCTCTCAGGGCCTCTTAAGGTGAGGCTTGCACCTCACCACTCCTCGACCACAGGGGCGGGCCGCCGCGCGCGCCGCGCGCCATTCGACGGTCGGACATTTCACTGGTGACGCGCCCATTTCCATAAAAACAGACTGCGCTCGCTCGCCGCCGCCTGGCCGAACAAATCCGGCCGCCGAGCGACGCCGGCCCGGGGGAGCGGCCGGCCCAAACAATGCAGCTGCCAGCGCGGCTTTGGCGCAGCAGAAATCAGCGCACAAATCAAACCGGGCGCGGCGGAGCGGCCAGCACCGGAAAGGCTTCTCGGCTCGGAGCGCCGGCGGCGCGGGGCGGTCGCGCGGCATCGAGTGGCACCTCGCGGCCACTTGATACGGCGACCACTCGGGAAACTGGAGACTGGCAGCTGACGTCGAGATTGGCCAGATGGCGTTTTTGTTACATCTGTAAGACTGATCTCCCGGCGGGAAGTGCGGGGGTCTTTGGGAGTGCATTCAGGCACCGGCACTTTTTGGTTAGTTCTATTTATCGACTTTGTCCATCATTAATGGTTAGAAAGGCATCCGAAATTATCATTTATCAATTTATTGGCATCAAGTCACTGCGTATTATCATACCAATGCCTATTAAATAGCTATATTAGGTATTAAAAACGGTGTAACAAAACCCTGAGTTTATACTGCAGTTGAGTAACCACCACTACCAGTGGGAGCGCACTGTTTCATGTCAATCGTTCTCAAACAGTAAATATTTGTACCAGCTCTATCCGTTTAACGCTGCGTCGGAGCCTGTTAGCTCTTTCTTGACCGATAACCGCCATGAGGAAGCTAAGGCAAGTTCGGTGTCGGAAACAACCAAACTTTCAGGTGAGGACTGTACCGATACGGTATCTGGACCACCTGGCAGCCGGCATGGCTCTGTTGGATCGTTGTTTTGTCACCAGGATGCCCATTCCGGTAATGCAGGGCGAAGGGCTCCGAAACGAAACATTTATGGAACGCTGCGGAGCAATTTCGCGATTTCGTAAATCTGATTTGCAACAGCTGTATAATTTATTATGCTTAATACCCGAGGAAGACGCTCAGCCCCAATAACTGGGGCCAATAAATCGGGCCTAACGAACCCCCACCCACCCCATAACGAGACTCCTGCTTCTCCCCAAATCTGCAAATTGAATGTGAGGTAGGAATGTGGA